TTCAGTGATGCAAACAAAGTGATAAGAGAAATACAAAAATTGAAAGTGGAAGGCAGTAGGTCAGACAACATCACAGCACGCGTCTTAAATTTCTTGCTGATCTCATTGCGCCCTGTTTGGCTGAACTTTTCAATTATTCACTCTAGTTCGAAATCTTTTCTTCGCGTCTCAAAATTATCCCTCTCTTCAAATCTGTCAATAAAAATTTGTTTCAAATTATAGACGTATATCAATCCTTTCATCGATTGATAAGATATTTAAGCGCTAGATTCATAAAGACTTCTAGTCATAAAGTCTACTAGTTTTTTTACTAAATATGATTTGGTTTCCAGAGCAATCATACTTCGTCACATGCCGTTGTAGACACAATATTATCTTATATCTATGATAAACTTGAGAAAAAAAGTTAGTTAGCGCAACATTTTTGGATTTAATTAAAGGCTTTTGAGACCGTAAATCATGACATTCATCACGGAAAAGCAAATAAACTCAATTCTAGTTATTCTAGCGATAGAACACAATACGGTAAAGTTGCAACTAATTGTTCAATTCCTTACCAGTGACTCACGGAGTTCATCAAGGCTGTTGTTTGGGCCCTATGCTCTTTCAGTATTTTTCAATTACACAATACATCAGAGGTGTTAAAATCATTTCCGAGGGCCGCATTGCATTTTGGGAATTGTGCAAAGGGCCGCAAACAGTTTTTGATATATTTTGATAATATATACTTGAAGCATATTTTCAAATAGGTGTAGTTCGTGACATATATTGTGATGCAATTAAACAGCCGAATGAAGGTTTATCACTTCCCCAAATTTCAAACGTCATTTACATATAAATGTTCGCATTTTACTATTATTTTAATTTACAGTATTAATTACAAAAAATCATAAATTTTTATGTACAACTATCCATAAAATTTTTGAACCAAATTTCGATAAGCATAAGGAAACAATGATACATATACGGAAAATGACTTAATCTACGGTAAATATATAGACCTAAAATTGACAAGAATTCTACAGATAAACTCAATGTTTGTTTTACTTTATATGTAATGACGTTTGGCTTCTCTTTTGTGCCCCAGCTTACTAATATCAGGCTGAAATGATTTTACAGTACCAACTCTAATTAATGAGGTCACATGGTCATCAGTTAATCTGGATCGTTGAGAATGTTTTATTTAATTTAAGTAACGCAAAAATATTACGTTTATCATTTCATGTAGAGATCAGTAAATCAAACAAATGACTGACTTCCAGACCAGACATTTTGGACAGATATATCCTACCTTTACGTGGTATAGAACCGTTTGAGTTATGAAAATATTGATTTTTAGTAACTAGGTAGTTGGATAATTATAATAATATGTTACAAACACATAAAAATTTTCAGTTCGAATTTTCTTTAAATTTGTCATATCGACTTCTGAGCTTATTTTGATAATGTCTACTTATATTGATTCTTTCATTGTACTGATGGAAATGTGACAAATTGAACAATGTGCTTTAGAATTTTGAGAAATGCAGAAATATTGCAACTCCCATTTTTCTTCAAAAATGCATGTACATTGTGTTTCATTTAAATCCTGAAGTTTTTTTTTTTCAAGTATTATTTTGCTAGCTTGAGGTGTATCCATAATTGGGTCAAATTGAAAACAAAAAAATTTTAATTTTCCAAAACTACTTTCAGTAAATTGTCGTTTTCTGTGTGAATAATCAATTTTACTTTAAAAAGTTAGAAAACTGTATTACACTTAAATAATAAAAAACGTACAAAATACTACAATTATTGTTAAGCGTTCGAGGGCCGCATTGTAAGCTCTCTGGGGCCGCATGCGGCCCGGGGGCCCAAGTTTGACACCCCTGCAATACATTGTTCTTCGTTATTTTCCAAAGTGTTTGCCGATGACACTGATCTCTTTGACAGTGACAAATCTCATCTTTAATCAAGAGTGAACACCAAATTTGCAAAAGTGGCAAATCGGATGACGCCCAACAAACTAACAATAAACATAGCAACAAAAAACGTTGTTAACACACTACATAACAGTAAATCTCAAAATGGCTTATCGATTCAAATTGTCAAAAACATGAAAACGTTAATTCCTATAAATACCATGGTATTTATATATAAAATGGGACGGACGGGAAAAATGAACACGGACAACTTCTTGATTACCAAATATATAAAAAAAATTTTTGCCTAAGATTCAAGTTACCCATTTTACCGTTCAGAAACGCAGGCAATTTATACGGCTCGTCAGTCAATGACCATTGTATGATGTCGTATATAAATAACTCTGTCATCACGGACCACATATATTCGAATTGACATATAACAAGGGTTTAAAAATCACCCTGAGTAACTGGATTTTATTTTGTAAAAAAAAGGCACACAAAACAAGTTTAGCCCAGAGCGAACAACAAACGCATATTTTACTTTGATATTGATGTATTAATTTCAATGTAATTTGATACGAAAAAATACATCTATGCTATAGCGTTTTTGGTGCTTTAGCGAGTGCAGAATATTGTCACGGTTGATATCAAGGTTTTAGTAAACTTAGTGCTAACAGCGCACGCGTGGAAACAGGTCGTAGCCCAATTTATAAGATTATTTTCTATGCAAAAGTTTTATACGAAACAAGTGGGATGACGTATTCTTACTTATAGTATTGCTTTTGATTTATACCTATAATTTTGCATACTTGTTTTAGGGTTATGAGCAGTGGTAGAATTTGAGGTTTGAACGAGTTCGCGCCTACCCTTGGAATGTTGCGATAATCAGCGAACCCGTTCCTATTTTATGACGACCGCAGCCAGAATGGACAACGTGCACCATAGGTGCCAGACTAGCATTGTGTTTGGCGTTTTGAACTTATATTTTAGATTTATTTAAAATGTGTCACGTTTATGTAGCTTACTTAGTGACATAGATACATTTTCTGAAATGGTTGGAATCTGTTGATAATTTGTCTACTTTCTGATGCTACCTGTTTGATCACTCAATCTGTAAAAATCTCAATTTGTGTAAAATTGGTTTAGGTTAGGATAAATATTTCCAAACTAGCCTATTTTAGGCAACATTAATTTTCTGTCCTAGATCATACATAAAACATTAGACAAGTTGCGTGTCATTCGTAAAGACAAGTTTCACGTTTATTACTTCGAAATGGTATACAACAGAACTGAAATAGCCTAATCAAGTGGTCCCCAACTTTTTTGTTGTGTGGCGCCCAAATTATGAGGGAAGCAATCTTGTTAATTTTATGGGTGGCACCGATGGCTTAACTAAAAACTCCAAAACAATGGCAACTTAACAGACCCAGCCTGCTACATATTGAATGGAAACATCAATCAATTTATCCCCTTCGGACTCGTGAAAGAAAATCAAACTTTCGCATGTCAGAGAGGATTCACTGGAATAGTCTAGCAAGAATCAAAAAGACCACGATTTGGAATATCACGGCACCTATACTCATGCCTGACAATTCTATCTCCCATCGTCCCAAGAAATACATTCGCATGGAATTTAAATTGCGAACTGACATAGGCAATCTATTCCACGCTATGGCTTCTATACGATAAGACACATATTTGGCGAATTTCTATGAAATGTGCGAATGAATATGCGTCTAGTACAAACAAAACACTAAAACAGTTCAAATTTTTTTCCAATCAAGTGGATAAAGGTAATTTGGGCGATTTAAAAATATATGAACGCGTCCGACGATAACCCATCACAAGAATGTTCAAATTATGGATGGATAGGGTCATATGATTTCGTTTTCTTATTGTAGCTTCTGGGCCCATTATTTCATCGATAAATCGCTCATTCTGATTGATGTTGAAATATTGTTTTCAAAATGTCGGTATTTGCGATTAGCATTATAGGGATATCTCGTTGTTCATCCAAACAGTGATGGGACAGTTCTTGAAAGGACTTGATAATCAGCGATTTCCGCTGTCGTTTTTCGATTTTGGACGTTAGACGAGAAACAACGCGCGCCATAGCTGACGATCATCGTTATATTTGACTTTTCGAAGGATATGTTTAGATTTATGTAAATCTTGTTATGGTAATGTAGTTTACATGCTGACATACTTTAATACATATAAAGTACTTTTATAGAGCTATAAGTTCGCCATAGTTTTCCTAAATTTGGGAACCTGTTGATAGAATTCTCATTCCCATCATTTGCTCAATTTACGCTCCACAGAAGCATACGAAGTGTGAACCCTTCAGTGCTCCTTTAGGTTTCATAGAAGCTATTGACGCTTTCTTGAATAATACGACGTCTTTCTTTAGTTCCCTCTAGTCTAGTTGAATTGACATTTACATTTTCAAAATTTATTTTTCAACCATTACTTTATTGCTAATATGTCAAAAAGCACACTCTTTTTGCGTAATATGTTATTATTATCAACTATATAGGCTGGGGTTCACACGCTTTTAAACTTGAATAATTTGTCAAATTGAAAAATTTTAATCAGTATTTGGTGATAGTAGAAATGTAACGGTACTCGTCTTACTTATTAGGAAGCACTTCGAAAATTGACGTTACCGTGCAAAGAGACGGCCAACAACGAACGCAGCAAGTAACACGCTTAGCTCCCAATTTCATAAACTGCTTATTTCGTTGTCTTCGTATGTTAATACTAACGTATCAATATTAAGATCAATGGAGCGGACTAAAACACGTATCTGTATTTTTGGAAACTCGGGAGTATTAACTAAACGCTGTCACAATTTATCGCAATCTGAAAAGTGCGACTGCTTATCGGTCCAATCGCGACCAGGTAATTCTATACTTAATGGAAACAATCGTTTTAACGACAGATGCCAAGACGCATTGTTACGTAACGCAACATTGTCTTTTTGGTTACCCGCACACACAAGGGGCAGCGTTAGTGGACAATTGAAACATATACCAAAATTCCTCGCCGGCCCGGCTATTGGAAACCACTGATGTGAATCCGTTGCACATAAGAGAACGAAGGATTATAAAATTCCTCGCCGAAGCACCGATGGGAACCACTGATGTCCATCGTATACATATCCATTGCACGCAAGACAGTGCAGGTAAAAGGGAGCATGTCAGAATATAAATATAATTTTCTTCATGTTTGCTTTAGTTATTATGTACTGCATTACACGGTCTTCTGTTTGAGCAATCAGTTTTTTCCATACTCGTTTATTCAACACTATTCAAGAGAGTTAAGGTATTTATTAGCGCTGCCCTATATTTTTAAAAAGGAATATGGCCTAACCCTAAGGGCTAATTTTGATATACGGTACCGACTTTGCAGGAACGTGCTGATTTTTGACAGGGATAAATGTGAATCGGAACCAAAAAATGTATAGAGTTGTAGTGAGCTAAAAACTCAAATGCTAGTCATTGAACAAAAGAAAACTTAGAATTGTTGCATTTCCAGGGACTTTTAAAGACTTAGTATATAAGCAGCATGGCAAACTTAATCAATGAACTACCCGAGTGGTGCCGAAAGGATTTTGTATATTTTCAAGACACTTTCAAATTTACCCCGGAGGACAAAATACTAACTTGGAACGATCATTTGTTCCTTCCACAGTTCCATCCTCAAACGGTAGCCTATGCTTTTGGAAACCATGAACCGAAAGAAAACGAAGTGATGATAGCAGGGTGTGCAAAAACAGGTTTCGATACAATACACTAATACAGTATATGTAGATACAACAGAACGTTTTCTGTTATTTTTACGTTTCATTTCCCATGAATTTATTTTGTGTTGTGTATTTGAGGGAAAATCATCCGATTTCCCATTTGGACACAAGTCGTATTCAATAAACAAACTTAAATCGACCATGTTGGGGCTTAAAGTTAAACAACTAGTTAAGTTTCTCCCAGTTACTCATAATATGATATGTTATAATATACATTTCCAAGAAATGGTTATTTACCATTCATTATTTATTTCCATAGGACATCTGATGCTTCTCTAGTTAGGTACATCAATATCAGAATTTTTGTTGTTCAGGCACCACGTGGACTAGAGAAATTATTCGACAGATACTGTATGGAAGAGACGAAAAACTTGATAAAATGACAAGAGACATTACAATCCCGAATCTATATCTTGAGTCTTGCACACGTAGGTTATTTTTCGAAATATTGTAATGCTAAACATATGTAAGGTTTTATTATTGTCGCACTCAGAGCACATTCTGTTACTACAAAAAGATCTTATCGACGCTCAGAGTGCTGACTATCACATATATTCTCATTGGCCATCCCAGTAACTCTCAATATATTGTATTGACGAGTATTTATTCATTCATAGAATTTGTGAAAAATATTTTACAAGACCATTTCAAAAAGTTGTGATCAGGGTTAAAATGTTATTACGCCAAATTGTTGTTTCACAATAGAACAATGCTCAAATATATAGACACGAAATGGAAACCACTACAGCACGATACGCAAAATGTTGAAAATAATTGTACCGAATGTCATATAAAAATGTTCTCTTGAATTTTCTAATACAGATAAAATTGGGCTGAAATATCAGTTTGTATGACTCATAGATAACTTGAAAAAATAAAAGTGATAGCTTTCTAAAGATTTCTTCGGTCTTTAATTCAATTGGACCATTATTTGCCGTCGAAAGCGATTTCCACAACAACAATAACTATTGAAAAAAGTGATCGATAAGTATTAGGTTTAGCTCAAAAACTGATTGTCCGCTATCTGGTCAACTCTCAGGCTATTGTTAATAATTAATAACGTTTATTTTTCTCAGCATCCAAGTTCAACGTCATGCACAACATTCCTTTACCCAGACGATATTTCGTTACGCATGCACCAGCCGAACTGGTGAACTTGGAAAAATACAAAAGCAGAAACATCAAGGTGAGTGCCACATGATTTAACATGAATCAAGACTTCCAATAAGGGGATATAGATATGGGAAGAATAAACTATATGGCAATGAGCATCAGTTGGACCTCGTTTTTCATAATGCTTTCATCCTATGGATGTTTTCCATTTTAAGTCATTATATTTCTCTGGTCTGGTCTGGTCATAGAAAATGCGACATTAAAATAGACCTTGAGCTGAAAAGGTTCTCTATATAATTGATAAAAAGGCTTGAATGAGTTTGGGATGACAATGGTAAAGTCGTAGGAACAGGAGCACGATATAACCATGGTATTTAAACTTACAAACGTCGTTTTCAATATTTCCGTCAATTCTCTAGCTCAGACGGAACAATAATGAATTTGCAATCGACATATACACACAAATGCAATTGAAATTTAGTGAAATTTTACAAATTTGAAAATGACAGTTAAAAAAAATATTTAGTTATTATTAGTTGGTAATTTGCTGGCTATCAGTTCAAAAAAATTAATTTATTCTCATTTTCAGATGGTTTACACTCTGCGGAATCCAAAGGATCGACTGATATCATTTTTTAATTTCGTAAAAGAATTTCCTCTCCAGGGCGGATTGGTGCAATTTGCAACCTCCGACTGGAATGATTTTTTTAAGCGCGAGATGATTGGTAAAATGTTCAGAAAAATTATTTCAATACATTAAAAATTAGGAATACAATAATAAGCTTATGTCTTCCTTATTTTTCCCTTCAATACCTTCTTGTTGAAGCATTATTGTGGCAACGGTCACATACGGGTCCGAATTGCAAAGTAGACAAAAGATAAACACCTTCAGTTTGAGGTACTCCCGAAGTATGTGAACCAGTATGGCGGACACCGTTACCGGGTATGTGTACCAGGTTAGGTTTTGGCCATAATTTTATTCCAATTTTCTCTATTTAGTTTATATTACGGGTTCGGGGACGAGCCAAGTAACTCCCGTAGTATTTGTACCGGAAATTATGGCTCAACCCTAACCTGGTACACATACTTACGTCCCGGTGTCCGCCATCTTGGTTCACATACCACGGGAAGTACCTAGTTTGATACACAATGCCCAAGTACTTCCATTATTGGCAAATTGAAAACCGTATTTATACTTTTGAATAAATAATATTTGTGTATTTGATTAGATCCTACTCCATTCAGCATGATGCGAAAAGGAGAGACTTATTTGGATCATATCTTGAGTTGGCTGCCGCATATTAAAAACAACAAAAACGCAACTATGATTGTGTATGAAGAGATGATTAAGGTAATTCAGCAGTAATCACAAATGGTTCTAGGAAATATAGCTAAAGAAAGCTCGCCGCATGAAAAATCGCCTTCGTTTCGTTATTTAACTTAACCCCAACTCTATAAACCTACATGCTTTTATCACAAATACTTGTTTTACAGCAAAATGCTCTTGCGATTTTTTATATGCGGCGAAATTTCCTACAGCGAAATTTCCTGCGGCGAATTTTCCGGGCACGATCCCAAATATATCTAACAAGCGATGCAGAACAGAACAACAAACATATGACGCAAAAAATATTGCCGAAGTATATTCTATTATGTGCTTAAATTTGGCCATGAGTAAAAAGTAGAAGATTGAGTCTAGGTTATATGCATGGCTAGTTTACCGACTTGAAAGAAACCGGAAAAATAAACTTTCGTATTACATGGTAAACGCATTTCAAATTTTGTATCATGGTTTTTGTTTATCCAGAATCCTTTTGAAAACACAAAAAAGCTGTCGGAATTCTTGGAGGTAAAGCTATCGGATGAAGAAATCAATAAAATAGTGAAAAATTGCTCAATTGATAACATGAAGAAATCAGACATGGAATCGACATCACAAGAAGCCATGAATCGCAAAGCAATTAATCTCTGCGGGACAGGTACACCTCAGTTTTCGTCGGTTTGAAATTTACGACATTCGCCTTGCTGCCATGCCAAATGCACAAAAATTATATTTTACTAGAAGCATATAAATAAAACGAATCAATGCAATAATACGATGTTGCATGTGGTTGATTGTCTATTTACAAGAGGGAACGTTATTTTAAACACAGACTGACCCGAAATTCCTAAATTACAGTTTCAACTTTTATATATGGCTGAATATTGTTATATTTCCACTCTTATTAATAATTTTCGTTGTTCAGTGAATTAATTACATTCCAGGAATTATTGGCAAATGGAAAGATTATTTCACTTCTGAACAATCTGCTGAAATAGAGAAACAAGTTGAGGAAAAATTGGAAGGAACGCGAATTAAGTTTATATACGAATAATTAGTTTACCAACTCAGCTTTTCCGAGAATTGCCCGCTCTCGAGTATATATTTATAGACTTTTGGTGTTAAAATAGTTTACTATCTGTATAGTATGGAATATTTGCTTTAAGATTACATTTATGTATATAAAGATGTGCGTTAGTAATAGTGTATAACTCTTTTTATATAAATTCTCACGTATGAGTTTGACTAATTATCAATTTCAAACTTTTATTTCAATTTCATCGTTATTTCATACTATAGTATACTAAAAAAATTGCTTATATAAATATCAGTATCAATTGCATGATATAGAAATCACGGTAATAAAAAATACAGGTTTCATAATATTGCAATAAAAGATTGATTTTTGAAAAAACGAAGTTCTTTTATAAAGTATATATTACTTTTAGAGATCATATGCATATCATACGATTGATTATATGCGGAAATATTATGATGAATCTACAAACATGCACGATACAAAAGATATATAGGCTAAATATAAATTCTAAACAATTATGAAACGTAAAAAATAGCTTGTTATTTGAGGAATGTAATGACTAGCCCGAATGCGAAGCCTGAAACTGCTCTGGGTAAATCTTTGAAGTGAATCGTTCAAAACGAAGCAAGCATACATATATAACTATATATATATACACAGTCAATGTCATATACATGCAACCTAACATACATATACAGCAATTGGAATGGTACTTCTAAACAGCCAATGTCATATGCATAAAGCCAACCTAATACACATATACAGCCATTCAAGTAATGTAAATATATACATTCATAGTCATATGTATATATAGTTAGCGCAACATATAAATAAATATTTTTTGCTAGTGTCTAACAAACTGTTAGAGTAACACCCGCAACCTTTTTCGAGTAAACCAGAGTTTTGCCTAGGTAAAGGTTTGCCTGATAAAAATCATTCTTCTGTACCATGCAATTGTGACGTACAATATGCTACTATCACACGGCCGGGGCATTTCGCTAGCTCAAGGCTGTAGGAATGTATGTCAGGAATGTCAATTTAATTTTATACAGGCAGTCCAAAAATAATTCAAAATTTGTGTGTTCATTCCACATTCCGGTGAAAGAGGGAGTGGAATATATACAACTTGAAACTCGGACCCAGGTAACTAAGATTTGATATACTCGTTCTGGAGAGATTCTACAAAAATTACGTTGTTGATGATAAGTATTCTATTCTGTGGCAAATGGCATTGCATGATGCGACGCCAAGAATGACCTATTTTTGCGAGTCTTTCTGCTCAATAGTCAAAATGGTCAAATCGGAGCTAGGTCAACAACACAAATTTGACTAACCAATTACCCTGCACAGTATCAAAGATGTCAGTCTATACTGAAAATTTTGGAAATGTCATTTAAAAACAGGTTTCACATAAACCGGAGAAATGAATTTTCATATTGCCTATATATATCTAATTTCTCCTTGAAGCCATTATTAATTTTTCACATTTGCGATATTTCACACGCGAAAACTGTAATTTATGGTGTGTGACAAATTATTTAATTTGCGAACCGCGGCTCAACTGGAATACAATTTGGGCCTCCAGAAAGCTTTTGTGTTGAACCTGACTGATTGAAATCGCACTTCAATAAACTACTGTTCGGCTATTGGAAGTGAGCTGTCTTATTGATTAAAGTTTGGTGCAAACTGTAATTACGCACATCCTATTATGTTTAATAAAAAGTATCTTCAGCTCGTTGACAAAATATGTCGACATTTCGTGCTTATCGAATTCAAATTTCAAACCGGCTTAGAATGGCTTGTATCAAGTGTAAATTACATGTGATAATATTCCACGATGCATCATTCAGAGATAAATCTCTTCGAAAATAATTTGCCGATGCTTTTTATATTTATCAAAATGTGAAGTGAGTAATGATAGTTGGCACTGAACTTAATTAGTATGTCTATAGTTTACTGTCACTGTCAATGGCCAAGTAATGGAGCTAGAATTCCAATGTCGTTGTTACCACCGGGACATAATATTGTACGTATTCTTGTACCACGCGGGTCGGCAATTGTTATGTATCATTATGCGCAAACAACATGTAGAGCCGTATCTCTGAATGATGCCTATGTCATGGCATTTTGTTACATCTAATTTACATTTTTTCATCACAGTTCTCTTTATTTTAATCAATAGCATTATGAAGGGTTCTATATGTGCAATAACACTACCTTTTACGTCAACGAGTATATAGACTCATCCTAAAAAAATACGGCGATGTTTTTTGAATTATTTAAAATTTGAAGTGGAATATGATAGATTGCACGGAACATTGAATTGATTGATTTTTGGACAGTTCAATGTCAATGTTCATTTAATAGTGCATTCAAAGGAGAATTTTAAATTTGTTGTTGCTATCAGTGCATCCCTGGTGTTATGGGCAATCATCGAGATGTTGTGGGGCATTAGTACATTATAGATTGCAACCTGACATTTGTATTCAAGTACCACGAGCGGACCAATTTGTAGGTTTCGGTATTTGCAAACAACGTTTATAGAAATGGAGGAAAATGAAATAGTTGGGCATTATTTGTACATCACTTAGATGACTGTATATGTGTATAGAGTTGGCTGTACTGTATATGCATATGAGATGACATTGGTTGTATATGTTTATTTGGTTGGCGGTATATGTGTGGCACCTGTGTGTTCTGTCCTCATTTATTCAACAATAGGCAGGGGAGTTCAGTGTTGAAGATATGGTTGTATTAAAAAGATTAAAACCTTTCCACGCGCTGCAATTTTTTGCCGCCGGCTTTACTAAGACAAGCATAGATATTGTATTGCAATTGTAGTGTTAACTGTTAATGGTATAAGAATAAGGTATTAAATTACATTTCAAGTTTGGTGACTTTACATGTTTCTCGACGGTGGTAGATGTGAGAAGAAACCAAATTGCAATGAGATAAACACTCCAATGCTAGTCATTGAACAAAAGAAAACTTACAATTGTTGCATTTTCAGGAACTTTTAGACTTAGTAAACAGCATGGCAAACTTAAATAATGAACTACCTGAGTGGTGTCGAAAGGATTTTGTTCATTTCCATGACACTTTCGAGTTTACTCCAGAAGACAAAACACAAACTTGGAATGACCATATATTCACCGCACAGATACATCCTGAAACAGTAGCCTACGCTTATAGTCATCATGAACCAAAAGAAAACGAAGTGATGGTAGCGTCGTGTCCAAAGTAGATCAAATATTAGCTGAACTGTTTTTCATCACGTCAAAGCTTTTAAACCATCAGCTACTGATAGGCTGTCTATCATGTTTAAGAAAAAGCTGGTCATTTGTTATTCATTACAAGTATAGCATTATTAAAATGTCTCTGTTAGTGGCATTAAATTAGTTATCTAATTAATCTCAATGAATGAATGGTTTGAATTATAGAATAAGTAATACGTTAGGTTTTGGTATATTTTATCGATAGTCTGAGAAAAATTTGGGCACTAAAATTATGTAAAGACAATGCACTCCTATTTGTGCTTATACAATGAGTTGATATAAGATATAAAACTTGTTTTCCAAATACCACGTTGTTGCCTAAAGGTATGGCACACTGTTTAGGCAAATCTTGTTTAATTCACACAGCGTATTTTATGTAGTGTATATATATATGGATAGACATCGACAAACAATTGAAGTACTAATCTCCTCCTTATCGTACCTGAAGAATGTTATAAATATATAAATAGTATCACTATATACAAAAGGTCGATGAACGTACATTGTATTTTCATAACATTATCAAAATGATGAACAATAGCTTATATATTACGTTTTTTTAAATAATAAATATATATTTTCTGGGCATTATTACGTGGTATTTTTCGAAGACTGAATATTTACCAGCAGTGAGCTTGTATTCTGATCATGCCTCCGATATGTGCAACAATATCAGGGTTTTTTGTTGTTTAGGCACCACGTGGACTCGAGAAATTATTCGAGGCCTGCTATTCAATCGTGAAACGGTTCTTCTTTGGCATATCAAAATTCAATTTGCTCTTAACAAAATTAACAAATACGGTAGCCTAAATTTGCTAGTAAACCTACATTTGACATTACTGCAATAGTAAGATCGCGAAAGGAAACCTGCAGGCTTGATCACGCAACCGCTTGAAATAAGTTTTTAAACAGTGTTCCCATGAGTAAATTTTAGAACAGCGAAATTTCGAATGAAATATCAGATCGCATAGGATTCATAGGAAATTTAGGAATAAATGAAAGTAATAGCCTTCTGAATCAAACTTTAACCACCGAAAATTTCAAAGCAATTGGTCCAGTATTCGAAGAGAAAAGCGATTTTATAATGATGGTGACGTAGAGAAGAACAATAACAACAACAGTTAAAATAAAGAAAATTGGAAAAAAAAATATGGCTTATTCCTAACCTGCTTTACATACTACGGAAGTACCCGTTTCTCTCCATCGTTAGTCACGAATCGGGGTTTGGGGCTCACTGCAAACTCACATCGCCGAAGTTAACGTAATGGTGCGTTTCTTTCCAAGTGCAGTTTCAAGTATTTTGTGGTGTCTAGAGCTGCCGCAAAACCATGGCGGGATTTCCGAACCATGGCCGCTATGACTAAACCCACGGCGACTGACTTTTTAGCTGCCACACACCAATAGCGAGCTGCCGTGGTTACGGCAGCAAATCGAATACCACCAATTTTGCTGCGTAACCACGGCATGTCGGCTGTAATAGCAGGGCTTCACCTCTAGCCCTGGTGATAAATATTGGGTAAATTGGAACGATTTTCTTATGAATACAGTTTTGATGTATTCGGGGTTAGGTTTAGGTTTGGGTAGGTATAATTCCGCATGATAAACTGAAATATTGTACATGACTTGGTAAATATACCGGTAATAGCGCGATAAAACCATGGCAAGAGACGCCGCGGTACGTTCGTGGCAGGAGCTGCCATGAAGTGGTAGATGTAGTATGACTCTGGTATACTATATACCAGGTCTACTCAACTATTTTTGCCAAAGATCCGCATACAAAACTTCAAACATATTTGGATCCGGTCTTTCCAGAAATTATATTTCGGCATCCTTAAACATGCACTTGATCCAAAATAAAGTATTAGACGCGGTCCGAATCGAATACCCGAAAGGTCCGGATTAGGACCGCGGTCCGCCAGTTGAGTAGCCCTGCTATATGCCATCGATAAAACCAAATATTAACTTGTTTCAAGTTTGTGCTACATAGCACCTGCTTACATGTTACTTATTCTCCAATCGTTTGTCCCCAATTCATTTGATCAGTCACACTTTTAGAGTGTTCTGAAATTCATATATCAAGGAGAGGTTTTTTTTATCATAATATCACTTTGCCTAATGATTGAATGTAAGTCGGCTTCCCAGTTAAAATTAAGCAACTCAACTTTTCCAAAAATTATCATGCTCTCGGGTTTACCATCTACATAGTATAGTAAGCTGGATATATTTGCATCAACAAGAAATTCATATAGAGCTATATATATTGATAGGAATGTACATCCTTGCCACACAAATTAACCATATGACTTAATTGTAACCTTTTATTTCATCCTTATTTTATAGTTAATTAAATACAGGTATTACTTGCATGAGATATAAATAATATACGTTGCAAAATATTGTAATAAAAATTGAACTTAAAGAAAGAAGTTTAATAAGGTATATAAAGTGTGCGTATTAACTTGCTAATATTTTGACAAAGCTGGATTACATAAGAAAATATCACGAAGACACTACAAAAAAGTCTTGAGTGATGAAAATTTCTCTAATACTTTTAAGGAAGAATGCATAATATATCTTGTATACAATTAGAAATTAAAATTAATTAGAAGTTGAATCAAAAACAAAACGGGTCATTTGGAAAATATTCTAGACGGAACAAAAATTTTGTGCAAAGCGTAGTAGATTACATAAATTTTTGTATATGATAATATACAAACAAAGGTTGCCGTATCAAATAATTTTATTTTATTTTCGTAGTGAGTAATTAAGAAATATGTGAGAATTCTGTTTTTTGGGTCATGCTCTACTAGCATTGGAGTATACGAGAAATCGATTTATGTTTTGAGAATTCAAATACGGGACCATTTAATTGCCTTGTGCAATACTCGATATTCGTCTGTTTTAGGAAGTCTTCCACTGAGGAGAATTCTTTAAGAGTTGACACAGTCCATCGATAGCGAAGCTTGAAAGCTTGAATACCGACCATCGCTGCATTTGTTATTGCACATTTGCTTGTGGAGAAACAAACAGAATATTTTGGCCTTCATTCTTATTTATATTCATCTGTCCGGGTCCGTAGTTGACATAATTTCCTTGAATCACTGAAACATGAATTTGGGTTCATTATCTGGTCAAGTATGAAATTTGGTACAAATTGTTATTTTCCTCACATACGCCTAAACTGAGTTTTCGTAACTCGGTTTTACTCGTAACTTTCTGTCGGTTTTACTACCTGAGATATAACCGATTTGTGTAATTTAATTAATTTTGTGTTTTGTGATTATAAAGATCAACAAATTTGTCAGAAGTACATTCAATTAAAATTCTATAGCAGTATGCTTTTTGATATTTCATTGATTAAAAACATAAGTTAAGTAAATGAAGCAAAAAGACGCCATAGCGTTTCTAAAATGATATTATAAACTAACAACATAAGATACCTGGAGCAGGTGGTGGTGTCGGTAAAACTGCTGGCCACCGATTTCTAATACTGTGTAGTTCTGGAGTCTCAGAGTTAACAATAACGGAGTATCCTATTTCCAAACTATTGCAAGAATCATCAGGTTTTGGTTGGAGGTTGAAATACTTTTGTTTCCACATGTTTGACATTACTTGATCCACAAATATTTCGGTGAAAGATTCCTTTCGGCGCTTAGGAGGTTCAATGTCTATTCGAACTTCGTCTCCTGAGTCGCCCTCTACAAATTCACATTGGAGTGGCTGGCTACAGCTTATTGCAATACGGATTTGACTTCCCGGTGGCGAAATGAAATTCAATGCGGGTGTCATAAATTCAATACCAATATTCCCGCGTGACATATTTTCCCGAACTTCATTTAGAATTGTAGTATCGCGTTTGCATACAATCGAAGTAAAAGTAGCGTCGTTGTTATAATATAGCAAATTGACCATATGATATTTAATAGGAATTCCAAGTAATTCTCTCAGAAACATGTATGCAGTTTCAACATAATATCCCAGTGCACATAGAGAAAATCCTTGAGTCTCAAACGCTACAGTTCCGGAAGTCCCCAATTTTGCAGTTTTCTCCACTTTCCATGTAGTATCATTATTCTTTTTCTTTAAAACCAATATTTCTGCTTCGCCGTGATAGGTTGTACACCATGTTTCCATTTCAACTCTAACAGGTTTGTTTAATTTTGATCCAGACAAGTCGCAGTTGATAATCGTCGAGATTAACACAAACTGTGAAGGCCAATGCGAGGGATCGCTATCCACAGATAACTTTATGTTTGTTTTATGATCCAAGGCACCATTGGGAACGACAATTCTGTTTCCATTTAGCGATATTAGTCCTCCTGCTTCATCAATATCTTTTTCTGTAAATAAAAAACATGTATATGGATTATATTATGCATGGAAATTGCATGGAAAATGTGGACGGTGTAGATTCATTACCTCGATATATTTATCTCTGCATTTCTTACAACGCATGGATTGAATTAGGCTTTCAATTTCTAGTACAATGACTATTTGTTTAAAAAGGCAATAATCATAATTGCAGACGAAGTGAACCTGTTAATCGCTTTGTTATTATGTTCTTTTTGTGAAAAAACAATACTTTTCTCCCCGACTACTGGACCAACTTCTTCGAAATTTTAGGGTTTCAGGGTGTCGCTGCCTGAAGACCTCTTGAGGTCCCTCGCGACTCCTGTCACACAATTTAAGTTAGTTTCCACTTGTATTTGTAATATTTTTTGATATATCGTACCATGTTTAAATTGTGTTGACGAATAAATGATGATTGATTGATTGATTGTGGTCACATCTCAGTGATCCGGTGATCGGACTACTAGTATTGAAGAAAAAAATGTTATTTCGTTTTGGTTTTCGTGTCTATATATTTAAGCATTGCTCTCTTGTTTTATATTGCAGATATGAGACTAGACTTAATGCTGTCTATCATATTGTTATACAATGTACATATCAACAAACCTGTTGATTTCGTGAAGTGGACTTCTTCCTCTGTTTCCATTGATGACTGACTCGTAGCTGGAGATTCTGGAAAAAAAGACGTTTTGTTTTGTATTTTGTAAGTATTTTATGTATTGGAGAAATTTATTTTTGCACATGAAGATTTGAATCATTGTGCTGAGGTATTGTTGTTGCTCATGTGGTATAGGCATAGACCTGAACTAATGAACTAGACTAATCGCTTTCAAATTGTCGGTTAAATAAAGTGGGAGTGTCTCTTAAACAGTTATAATTTTAAATTTTCCAATGTTTGCTCCGGTCTTTCTGGGGCACTTTGTTTCAACCCATATTTTAGCTGAATTGGAACAATTGTGCCATCAAGTGTTGTTCCGTGACTACATGGGTTTTCTGCCTGATCGGTTTTCGCGGGCAAATGAGAACGGACAACGCCGGTGTCTGACTGCACGCCCACTTGGCACCGGTATGTGCGTTTGTTCACAATGCACGTTCTCTTTACTGGTCTTTATGTCACATAGTAGAATGCATATTACAAGTTGTTTAGAACTATGTCTGATTCATACATACATCAGAATGAAGTGAATAATAACGCAGTTAACAAAGAATTGCTTGAATAGTTGACCACTCTTTATACTGATGGTCAAAACAGTTAGTACAACAATTTTCATTCGAAATAATTTTTCATGACACTAGCTTCAACACATGTTGGACGATATGCATGCACGCGATAAAAGTGAATAGCTGATACCATGCGGCATTCCAGCGCAAAAAAATCATTGTATTGCTCGTGTATGCGAGTACAATAGTTTGATGAAACCTATATCTAAAACATACTTACCTTCTCCCGACCACAACAGATTGGTAATCAATGATTCGCCGTCACTGAGAGTTGATGTTATTTTCAGGTGCTGCCCAGGATTAGGAAGTGATTGTAATTTGAAGTCAACAGTGCTTCGTCGAGTGAGAGCAAAGTTTTCTCCGAGCGGAAAATATTCTTTGGATTCGGGTCCCAATGTCATAATCTCTTGACCAGGAATATTGCATGCAAAAGTAAGGCTGAGTCTGTTCGTTATGGCTATTTTCTTCGTTTCAAAATTAGCGTCGAATCTGTTAAACCCCTTTCTTCTCATTTCTGCGTCTAAATCTGATTTTCCTCCAGTATATAAGACAGCTTTAAACTTTCCACTTTCGGCATGGTAAAGGGAAATATGCGCACTGTAAGTAACTTTGTTGAGTGAATTCTTATCGATGGAAACCCAAAAATACATGTGGTAAGCAGATTCAAATGTTATTTGCCGTCCACACTCTTTCAAATTTTTTTGTTCCAGAATCTGGCAGGTAGCGTCCTGTCCTTTGTCTTTGTACATAACATAAGCTATGACATCATCAGATTCAGTTCTGCACCACGTTGGTAGCTTGACCGTCATCGGGACGTTGAAATTTATTGGAGGATTGCAGGTAATACGGGGTGTGATAGCAAAATATCCTTCTGGTTGGTTTTCGGGATTGTTTGTGGCAAGGACTTGAAAATAGGTTGGTTCGTGGACAATGTGTCTGGGAAATCTTGCTCTGCATGTGCCGATTTTCATTTGGAAGCCTTTTGGGTCGATGTAGCCTGTAAAAGGTTGATGTTTTTTTTTTTTTGAACAAGTTAGCAGCGGTCGAAATGCAGAAAAAGAGACTTTTTATTGCCTTCTATCTCAAATATCAAAGTAATCCCTGCAGTACCATCTCAACGATAAAGTAACAACCGTTTGTTTGTTTTGCGAAAGAAAACTATAGCACAGTTTGATAGCACATGCGTCGGTGCCATTGCTATACGACATTTGTCTATTTTTATGTGAGAGTGTATCTTGCTCATACAGTATATAGACAATGCTTCATTTCCATTTGTTTTTGAAAAACATAGAATGCGTACTATTTAGGAATTACCCACTAGATCAGTAACTTGGTACCAACAATTAGAATACGACAAAACACCTGAATATGTCACTGAATTAACATGGATCCCAACGTGTCAAAACAATAAAAAAAAGGCACCTTCGCTTTCTTCAACTCCATCAGCGTGAGGTCCAGTCATATCGATCTTCAAACCCTACAAAAGTAAATGATGAATAAATATTATTAGCATAAATTAGATGTATTTCAAAAATAATTCTATTCTAACAACAATTTTGTAGAAAATACCACAAGCGCTTTCAAATATGATAAAAGCTGTTAAATCACTCTGTTATTGCAATTTTTGTGCTTACTTTTTTGCACTTGAATATGTAATTATTTGTGTGCGATACTGTTAAACTTCAAATATTTACTATTTTTTTTAAATTTCAACAGAATTTGCACTCAAAATTTTGAAAATTATAGAAGTATACATGATCATAAATATTCTTATTTCAAACCTCTGGTTTAATTGTATCCAACATTTTTAAATCTTCGTCGGATATTTTCCAACCGTATAATGATAATATGTCGGTCACGTGCGGAAGTATTTTCACCAAAGCATCAACGTCTTCATTTGAAACTGTTCGTCTCTCATTCAATCGAAGAACCCGGAACTGTTAAATAATATGTAAATTATGATGAAATCATTCAAATGCCAGCGATAAATATAATGTATGAAATTTAATGTAGAACGAAATGATTTAGGTATAAACAGTCCCGTATCCGCCATTAGGCAAGATGGCTGAAGCCTAAAGGCCTCGACATTCAGTTTTAAAGTATTATTTATTATCAATTACTTTTTAAATTGTTCTAGTAGAATAAACCCGGTTTAAAATATTATAAAACTGATTATTGATTAGTTTAGGATTAACAATTCTCGTCCCAAATATTCACGTTTAAAAGATTGAAAAAATAATGAAATACGGTCGAATATGACTGTAAAACTATATCTTCTTTGCCCTAATAATGCTGTAATTTTAAAAAAAAGTATAGCTATATTTGTTCATCTAAGCACGGACTAATGTAATAATTAATATAACTTTTACTAGTTTCACAATTTGAAATCTTTATTTATCGTGGACAAGTTTACTCAAAAAAAATGATCATAAGAGATCTTTTTGGCGCCATTGTTGTAATGTAGACTGTAGAGGGACCTCATAATTTACATAGTCGAGAGCCTCTCATCGTCTAAATACGACTCTGGATATGCCTAAATACATCTATATATATATATCTAGAATGCAATATAAATGAGATGGTTGGTCTATAACAGGGTCGTCCAACCCGTGGCTATGGCCTGTTAAGTGGCCCGCGGCTTCATCAGTAAACTATATGTGGCCCTTCAGCCAAAAAATTTGGCCGACCCTGTTCTATAGACTCTATAATCTCTTTTCTCCATTTTTACCTTTGTCTCCGAGGGTAAATTTGATAGTTCTTGTAACTGAGCAGTAGAGAGTCTACATTTCTGAAGGTCGAGATTTTCTAATCCACACTGTATTGCCATCTTCCTAATAGTTGTCAATCCATGAAGACCCATGTTCGTGTTTGCATGAAGCACAAGCAGAGAAATCTAAAGTATATATCAATTACTCCATGTTACTTATACAAGTAAAAAAATAAACTCTCGCCAAGCCCACCGTGTGCAAATTAAGCTAGTTGAGATTTTTGAATTGTTGTGTAAAATGTGTATACATAATGACCCGCGATTCATGGGTTCAGGAATAAGTCGAAATTGCTAGTTCGGGTCAATGTGAATTCGGGTCATCAGTAACGTTTGCTAAGCTTCAATGCATGGGACACGAGTTATTGAACTGAACTATGAGTTAGCTTAACATTGGTGTGTCATGGGGTACACTCCAGATTAATGCTTCGTCATATAAATTTTCCTATCGAATCTTGATCTCGGGAACTGATTTGTCTCATTGTGGTTTTCGTGTCGCCAACAGCGACTGTAATGGTACTACCTATACTAATGGCTTCCAATATATTGGAATATATCAACAACATAATTTTGAATAAACGTGAATTTTTATCAATCAATAGTATGAGAGAGCAGTTTATTTCTAATAAATGTCTAAGACCTCTGTATGACTGGGCAAATCCATATATCATATATTTAAAGTCAATTTTTTTTATTTGAATATACGCATTACGCAAACTACGTTTTTTGATTCGTGACATGGAATTTTCCTTCTGAAAGTATGCACAAGTTGGAAGCTCTGTTCGGGGCGGAAATGAAACAAAACGGGAGAGATTGAATGCCGTGACAAATAAAATGCACTAATATTCTAAAAAGTACTTTAGCCTACATCGAACAATATATGCCTATTCAAACCTTAGTATCGCTTTGATGTATAATAATAAATTTGCTACACACCCTGACGCCTCATTAATTGCCAGTTTGTAAAATCTAGGGATAGCCCACGTGTTATAATCACCATCGAATTTTATGTATTTGCTCTTAATAATTTATTGTATCCAACTGCTGTACGCTATTTAAATATATTTGATTAATCAGGCTGTGCTGATATTTTCCGTGTTACAAAATACGAAATATCGATTTTTTTTTGAGTGGAATCACGTTATACATCACCTGAGTGATGATGAATTTCTAGGAAAAAATATTGATTTCTACTAGAAAGTAGATTTCTCTATATGAATTTATTGACAATTTATTTCAGTATTCAATAATGTGAATGGTAATTCAAATTCGAAACCAGCGGGTCGCGTCCCACATGGGGACATAGATAATTTTTTTAGGGGGCGTGAAACTAATAAAAATTACAAATATTTGAAAATTTGATCTTTCCCACCTTATTTTGGATATATATTTACGTTCCGTCCCCGTATTTTCAACGTGATTTTTTTTAAATAAAACATACTTTCGCATTACTATTTGTTATTTGTAGCTTATCGCTATAGCTAGTTATTTTTGAGGTGGGCGAGAGACTTGACAATTATAAAAAGAAGGCGCGGTTTAAAAATATTGTGAACCACTGTTCTAAACGATCAACTCTGATTACAAATTTCCCATTTGTTTCAACTTACTTTGTTATCATCCATTGTGTCAAGCAAGGCATCTAATTGATCGGGTTTCAATTCGGATTTATAAAGATGAAGTTTATCGATGACACAATTCTTACACCAACGTCCCAGTGTTAAGTATCCTTCTACACCGAGTCTTGTGTTGCGACCAATCCATAATTCGAAGCCCTGTAATTGATGATTGTTTTTTAAAATGAGACCCACTATAGAACTTAAATGTAATTCCGATGGCATTACAGAAATATAAGTAATGATATATTAATCGGCTTTGCACAAAGAGCGTCAAAACCGTAGTTCGTGTACATCTTTATTGGATTGTAATCAATATATTTCATTTAATATTTTTATGATGGCAAGTATGTATGCACTCATATCGTTTGTTCACAACTCGAAAGCTTCTAGTTTAAAATGTATTGAAAGTTATACCTTGAGTCCAGATTTTTCCAACAACGAAGCTAATAGTTCAATGGATGTTGAATCCATATTGCAGTTCTGTATATCCAAGTCATAAAAATCTTTGCATCGTGAAATGACGGAACCCAAAGCGTGGCAATCGCTTGGTGACAGCGGTAGATTTTCTAGGTTGACTTGATATAGGTTTTCCATGATGACGCTGTCCATACCGTCCTTGGTTTCATACAGTGACCGGACTATTTCAAGTAAATCGGCTCCTTCTAAGTTAGAACGCATCAACTCATTTTTGAAAGATTCTCGAAGGATTTGTTTTTTGTCTTCTACTGAAGCTACACCTGTTTGAGAAGAAATATTCAGTTGTAAATAATGATACGCCAGATTTGAATTGCAATCGATGATTTTATATGTGGCATCAAAAAAACATAAAAATAATAATATATCCGTCAGTAATTTTTTCCTATGCATATAAAATTAGAAGAATATGTATATATTCCACGTCCACAATTTACCAACATTAAACTAAAGATTTTAATCTGCCATCCCGCCAAAATTATAAATATTACTTATTTAATATAGTGATAAACTGCATATACCATGTATAAGCAATAGCTCGGCTTGTTCAAACAGCTCATTGTCCATCAGCACACCACAGAGAAATCTTCTCACGACACGAAATCTTAAATCATGGAGATGCTGAGACACAAATTCCTTGAATTTCTCAAGACTCATCTCGGAAATATAAAACGCGGAAAGCATTTCTTGAAGACTTTGATGACTGAAAAATAATAGATCGTTTCCTTGGAAGATTCTCTGTTTGGTTCGGTCTTTTAGAGAAAGGATTGTGATACTGGTTGCTGCATCAATATTTTCCAATCCCACGCGGTAAAAATCTTCGGCTGAAAAATGAACTTGGCTTCTCATTGTTCCATTATAAGCTAAGGATTTTAGCTTGTTCAAAATTTCTAGGATGTCTTGTTCTCTTGTGTGCTCGGACCTTAAAATTATTTGAAACACGGCGACTGTAATACCCGCTGTCGTAGTTGGTCGAAATTCGCCTCCTTCTAATACAATAAGAGTGTATACTAGTAACACAGGGGTGCTACAAAGTGCTAACTGAGCCGGACACTCATTTTTTAAATATTGCATTGTTTGTCTCCCCTTCTCCTTCCCCAGATACCCATTAATTACTTCTTCAATGGATTCATTTGTAAGACCTGTGAGCGCAATCACTTTTTGTGGTCGAACTTCTCCTTTGTAATTACGGATCGAATGTTCACGACTAGACGTGATGATGCGAGAACCAGGAAAGAGATTGCCAGCAAGAAAATTCGAAAGAATTGCTTCCGGATTTGCTTCCTCATTGACGTCATCAATATACTTATAAACCCCATCAACCTCATACTGAAGAGAATCTAATGAATCAAGTACAAAGAGAAAGCGATCTGGATTCAATTTTATAATTTCCATAATTTGTGTGAATTCTTCATCGGACAAAGTACTTCCAAATAATAATTCTCGTGCGGATATCATCTTGTTTGGTAGATAATGTGCACATTGTATGTAGTGAACTACATTAACTTTTTTCATAAATATTCCATCAAGTACTCCTCTTGAAATAGCTTTGAGTAAGGTAGTTTTACCATAGCCAGCGCCTCCTACAAAAGTGATATGCCCTTTTTCAAATTGTTCTAACAAATCAATCAACTCGACCAGAGATCCAACACTGACACCGTCATCATCGTCGTCTTTATCTGTCACTGCTTCAGGTGTATAATCATCCTGTGGAGCGATATGTTTTCCATAAAAGTCGATTTCCTTCAATTGTGGAATGACATCAACGTCAAGCTGATTTTCTAATCTGTCTTGAGATTCATCGTAGAACTTTGTACAAGCTCTTGTGTTGTTGTTCAAACGCGCCAAGATACTTTTTTCCATATTTCATATATAAATACTTTATACTAGTGTATCAACACTTCAGTTATGTAATAGTATAACTTCAGCTGTATAAAAGAGTCTTGGCCAATCAGTAGCTTCAGAACCGTTAGTTCCTATTTTACCACCAGCTAATACTGATTGTGTAAAATATTGCATTTTCGCAAAAAAAACAGGTCAATTATTTTTTTCTACTTATTGTTGAGAAATATTGTTAAAATATTTGAAAAAACTTAATAATTTAAATATATGTTTCAATAGAAAATGCGCACAATATTCATTTTAGTCCTTCAAATAGTGAAAAAATTAGAACTGTACGATGTGCAAGTGCAAACCAATTAATTACTCGTTTTCTTCGCTTCTTTTTGTCAAGCGGTGAATTATACGATATATATGCTATTTATACACATTTGTGTAATACAGGACGTTTCCAAACACGAGTCGTTATCACTACTTCGGATTCGTATGCTTCGAGTGGATATCCGTGCGACGATGTACACAATTTCTTTGTATAATGGTTTACAATTCACCAGGCACTATTAAATATTTATGCTGTATCCAAGACTATCTATTTTTTAATTTTTATTTTGATGAACTAGTTCTTGGTCAAGTCATATTACTTCTACTGATGTTAAATGCGAACGTTATATATATATTCTAGAGTTCTGGGTTAAAATCTTTCCATTTTTTTACCACAGAGACAGCGAAGCGTATTAACACATCTAGAATATGAAACGTTGACTTTAACAGTACACTTCATCATGTATGTTTACTTCTATACATGCGTATGTGAATGCTTAATTTGGCTATAATATTCCATTGCGTGATCTAAATATCTATTATTACAAATGTCATTGAGCTTTTACAATATAACTGCGTTTGGAGGTTAAAAAATAAACAAAAACATTAAAATCAATATTATTATACTGTCAGCAAACTAGTGAAAACAGGTATTGTTCCGCAATTAGATTTAAAATGTCGTAAAAACAAGAAAACAATATCTCGAAATAAAATGATTTGAAATTTTCTAGGTGTTTAACCTTGGTTTTATATTGGCTTTTGCATCGTGAAACGCACCTCTGTGGTATTAACGTAAGGTTCACTCAAAGTAGACTTAAGCTGTAAGACAATTTGGCCAATTTGTGAACAGAATGACCCAAAATATGAATTACGTGAAATGGTAATATTTTAGATTATAAATATTGATTTTCCAAAATTAAAAATCACGCGATTTTATCTTGTTTACCGACGATACTGATAATAAATATCGATTCAGAAATTCACTACCTCGTCTAAATATGTCTAAAATAATGTAGTTTCTATTTTTTTAAATAAATATGTAGAAAATGCTGAGTGAATTTTGAGGTAACGTGATGCAGCGGGCCAAACAGAAACAATCCAAACAAATTATATTTTCAAAAAATGCCTAATACCTAATTTAGGCGACTGAATTTGGCCACAATTTTGAAGCAATGATACAAACGTTTAAGGTACTCTCGTGGACTCAAAAGCTAAACAAAATTTCTTTTTGATGATTTGAATCTCAACTCTGCTCAAACGTAATACAACCTGCGAGTGCTACAAGGCCTTTTGTCAACCAGTAAATTTTCACTACGTAGCTCATACAATCACCTTATTTATAAAAACTCATCTATCATTTACTCAAAATGCGTAAAAAATAAAACCTCAACAATTAAAATTTCAGTATCCCAAATATTGTTTGATTATTTAATCTGGTTTTTGATATTCGATAACAAAGAATGAATACCAACAGTAAGAACATCATTCACATAAACAATAACGTTTATAACGAAAAGTCTGACGCATTATATCTGCTTTTCCAAACCTGCTAATTCAAAGCACATGACTCATTTTCAGCACAAATATATTGCTAAATGCTCCACCAAGGAAATGACTATAAATTTTCAAGCATAACGGATGGCCGAGTATGAGCTTCTTAGTTTTGAACACATTTACCATATAATCTGATAATTGTAGAACTGAACAAGCACAATGTGACAGTGTGGGCGGAAATTCTGACGAAGCATATTTCTTTCCTGAACATAATGAGTTGAACACTGACTCAAGTCTGCGTGAAATAGACTACTGTAGCAATAATTCTTAGAATACATCACCGAGTCCAATGGTGATACTGACCTTGAATTAGTTCAAGTAAATATTGTCTGTATTGCTGGATTAATTGTTGTCAATATATATATACTATAGTATTCACCTAATATGCCGCCATTCGGAACAATGTCACCTCATCTTGCAACGCTCATCCTATTGTCGAATTTGGTTGCGGACTCATCCGTTACATTATCTATAACACAATGGCTTTCATAAAACCAAAACGTGCGCACTGAGTGAACGTATCCTGTCTATCATTTAATATCAATCTCAATATGCAAAATACCCTAATATGAGAGCTCGGTCATTGAATGAGATCAAATGCGTTGTACTATTTCACGTTAACACCTACATATTATCATTATGGTATCATGAACAACCTGAGCTGAAAATACCTGCCTGCAAACATACGTAATATGATATTTGGCATAAATCATAAACGGAAATACTGTATATATATTATATATATATAGTAAAAATGGACGTAGAATAAAGCAGAGCCTCACTACTCCACATAAGTACATCACCAAGTCATATTAGTATGCGATCTCAATGATTTTAGTCAGGGTTGGTAAATGGATTCTATGAGAATGTCCTCTTGAGATTACCAACGCGGCACCAGTTGAAATCACATACCAAAGTGGTACCTACGTCACAATGAAACCCGCCAATTCAAACCCCAAATAAATCAATATGTGATATTATCAAGAAAACGATCCACGTCCTCGAAACGATAGTTGGAATATGAGGCTTCGTCCTATACTTAAAAAGTATTCTGAATCAGAATCGATATCAAATTTTAGCGATTATTATTTCTGTCTTCACTCACTAATAATTCATAGGATTATGCCAAACAATATATATACTCTACTCATTACCCCAAGTGTAGGAGCTCCAGAAATAATGTTTAGACTTGAGTCCAATAGATTTAAAGTCTCGATCTAACATCGAAAATTTTTTTTGAGTTTCTTCTCTCACTATGATATTATAGACTGTCGCAAACTTTGGATGGAATACACCATTCTGTGCTGACAAGCCTTGTTGAGCACAAAAGAGCTTAAAATAACAACTATTCTTTCTTACTGATAAGCTCCACTGTGACAACATTGGTCTTTTTCTTGATAAAGAATTATAAAATATAATTCTATTCAGCTAGTAATGCGGACGTATATGTGATCTTGCTTTCAACGATTCTCAGTGCCGTGTAGGGTATAAGATAAACATTAGATTACTGAGTAATAAACTCTTGTTTATGCTACGTTGCCCCGTGGGCCGTGACTGTTTTTCATCATTTAATAAATATAAGCAGTACTTCCTCGTTATACTTCTTCGATGCAAAAGGATTATATATACATTACTAAATCCAACCATCTGCAAAAGTCGTTTAAAAAATGGAGGCCATAGCGGTTTCAACGTATATAGAAACTACATTTTTTGATTGGAACGAATCTACGCAAAGCGAGTAAGAAACAATATTGTCGGATACCATTGATCCATGCTTGTTATCGTAAATTACAATATTGTCATAATTTTTAGCAAATATATGCATAAGCAAAAAAGAAAAAACAATGACAAATGACTGTTTCGGAGTCATAACAACGCTGCCTGAGAACTTCATTTCTTTCCAACGTCTCGGATTGTTACATCACATTGCATTGATTAGGCTGACTCCGATTGTACTTGATTCCCATAAAAAATCAATTACCGATAAACAGGTAAAGCGCGGTTTAGCGCTTGCGTGGCTATTTGCCTGACGTTATGCGGTCCGCTCGAACGTGCACGGCGAAGTTTCAGATTTTTAGATGTGAACTGAATTTATAAATTGGTAAAAAATGTTTTTCGACACAAAGTAGACCATCGAATTGTTTCTTAATAAATGTTGGTATCGTTTCTATACAATAGCTGCGCATAAGTATGTTTTCTTCCGCGCATTGAAGGAATTAGTTGCTGTCTTACGTCCGCAATTATACCACTCCTCAACCTTCTTATCTTCGACCCACTGCCCTACCTCTCCCAGACTTCCTGCTCTGTTCCTTCCAGTTTTATATCGCCGACTCATCTCCCTCAGCCTACCTATCTTTGACCCACTGTCCTATCTTCCTTTCCTCAAACAACTATTCTATCCTTCATAGCTTTCCTATCGCCAACCAACCATCCTTTTCGGATTCCCTATCCCCGACTCGCGCTCTATCTTCCTCAGCTTTCCTTTCCCCATACCACTGCTCTAACCCTCACAGCCGACCTGTCTCTCTTAGCCTTTCTATCCTCGACCCACTTGCCCCACCCCCCTTTCCCCAATCCCCTTTCCTACCCTCAACCACCCAACCTGGTGTATCCTAATCCAACCGCCTTCTACTCACTAATCCTGCACTTGATCCACTCTAACCTCACGCACGTTCTGACCGTCATACTCGACCTTCTTTGTGTGCAATTACGCAAACTTTCAAGCTTTATACGGTTCGAGCATGTCAATGATATTATTGAAGCGTACGTCGGGGAAAGGTTGAGGCATTTGTAAGATAATATAATAGGTATATTTAAATACAAATTTGACCACCCTAATTGGTAGCTTAGAAATGTGCTACTCGTACCCAATGTATATACATATTTATTTTTATGTATTCATCACCCCAACTCTATAATTACTAATTTCTTATTTAAAAACGTGGCGTCATTTCTCGAGTCTTCCATTTTTTGCATTAGTGGCGGGTGCTCTCTGTAGGCTTAAAAATGCACGATTAGGAATGAATAAATATTATACTGGTTCCGTAGATTATTTTGAGAAAAATTATCTATTTTTTACCAACGTTGGTAGACGAAGTAAGTGTGTGTAGAGCTATCGGTACGGGCGACGAGCTTTTTGTTTATTTATTGAGTTACCTCACCCTAACTCCTGTAGGGCGTCGAACTCGTTGTTTATTTACTGACTTACCTCACCCTAACTCCTGTACCTTCACAGAGCAGCCTACACAATTTTTTACTGTCTGTATCCTGGGCACTCTGTTCTTCTGCCACCAATCCCAGTCCGACTGTTTGAATGACTTTCTTTCTTCCTATATTATTTCCCTGTCTCCTGACAACTCTGTTCTTCTTTATGCCACTGATCATAGTCTGGCTGTCACCCGGCTTGCTCACTTCATCCTACATATTGGCCACTATATACTTCTTTCCGCCACTGATCCTGACCTTCCTATGCCACCACCTGATTTTTGGCCAGATATTTTTGCTCCTTTTATTGACTCCAGAACTCTGACTACCACTTCCTTTCCCCGACTATCATCACAGCCTGGTATATCCTCTTGGATTCAAACGCACTAGAGTTACGTTTAACGGCACCTAAACGCTTTCCATGCGCCACGGTTGCTGACGTGGATACTGCCGTCAGAATATTACTTAATTAATAGATTTTTTTATCAACATCATGCTTAGCAAGTGAGGCTGATAAACTCGTCAATTACCATGCTGCGTTTGTTCGTGCTGTACATTGATGCTCATAAAATATATCCGACCAAAAGTGTAATGGGTTTCAACTCCAGAATATATATGTTATTATATATTATTACTAAAGCCGATAAGACGGCGTAATTTTACGGAGTAACACGGCCTCGCGTCCGGTTACCAGTCCATGTCTGGTATGGGATTAATTAGCCAGGTATTCAGTCCAGTTATCAAACATGGTATCAATTATTGATGCAACCCAGTTGGTTTGAAGTATTTCTTGGCAAAGCGGAACCCCAGTTATTTATTTCAGAAGATTTAGGAATTAAACAGTGCGATTGTTCAGTTGTCTGAATGGTAGGCTATAACTATAAATATAGATAAAAGCAAATCAAATACTGGCGACGTAAAATGATATCCTTCCTCAACGCCTTCGCGCTAGTGGTTCCCTGTGAGTATAATGCAAGAAGGATGTTATAGCAGGAATAAACGAGACTATACTATGCAATTCAAAAAAGTTGCTGTCTTACGAGTTTCCTGTATCTCAAAAATACGCGTAACGTAGTTTTCTCCCCCTCATTACCCCCTCTACCATAAACAACAAAAGCGCGATTTCGATTCGCATTTATTAAAAATTATCGAGATCAATGAAATGGAAATGAGAAAAAATTCAGGAAAATTTTACAAAGGATTTTAAAAATCAAAATAAAATACAAACAAATAATTAGTAGAATAATTAAAACAGTGAGAGTTTAGTTTAAAAACATTTGATTCAAGAATAAGATTTGTCGCGCTTGGTTGGATCATGCTGCCACTCTGAAAAGGCAAGTTCATTGGGGTTAAAAGTTTTGATTCGGCTCATAAATTGAAATAAGCCTAATTTATAATGGCAATTCTTCGATTCGTAAAACGATATTCAAACTTCAAATTTTGAAACTATTCAATACTCAAAGACCAGAATGGGTGAATGTAAGTTGTCAATACTGACAGGGAACAATATGTCATTTCAAACGATTAAACTCTTATTTTGAGCTTGTTTGAAATTTCCTAAATCAAATATTGTAAGATAATTTCAAATTAGATGCTGAACGATTTGACGAATCTCAGAATTAATTAATTAACCAATTTAGTCATTTGTTCTTCACAAATCAATATCAAAAACCACGATATGAATAATTTGGAATGTAGAAAGTATTTCTAGAGAATCATCAGAAATTAACGAGAGACGCAATGGAATATATTTCAAAAACCATGAATGTCTTTGAACTTGATGGTATAGGCTTATTCGATTTAGAAAACATACGATTCGAAAGATTGTTGTTTCAAGTAACTTATATAATGCTCTAAAAGTGAGTCGTTATTAGAGTTTTAGAATCAAAAATTACCCACAACGCACAAGAACATCGCAACTTTACCAACGTAATGTTTAATTGTTTGGGTACCCCACTACTTTTTGTTACGGTAAGAACCCCTCTCAAATTTTCGAACGTTCAAAAACAAAAATTATTTATATATGAATCAAAATGTATCCTTATGCAACGTTCATTCTTGCTGCCTCGGATTTCTTTTTCCCAGACAAAGATAAAGATCGTTTATGCCTCGCCGCCAACAAAGCACTTCTTCTGGTACTTTGTTCCCTGGAGAGTGGTGCGAGAGTAAATTCCTCCCCTAGAACCATAGATTTGCACCGTGTTGATTGTACTCGTCGCCGCATTATTGAAGCTGTAAAAACGGATTGAATTATTAGAAATTGACGAAACAACACCATGGTACGGGATTTGTATGCATATCTCTGTATTCCAGAGTGAGCATTCAATGGAATAAATTTCAATCTTTGGCTATTCAATATTAGCAAACGATCAAATTTCCGCGCAACACTGTTCAAGATTTACGCTTCATAGACACTGTGTCTGATAAGGATTCAACTATTTTCACTGGGTTTCTTATGCTTTCAGAACTCAAAATAGTTCGAATAGAGATTTTCAGATGCAGAAGATTTTCGGAGTAGTTTTTGAACTTGTTCGGTATCTAGATACGATGACCCAATCGTTATCGCATTCGATATAATCGTATTGGCGTCGCTCTTCACGGATAGCAAAAATGGAAATTTTTCCCAAAGTAGCTTTGTGATATTGTGATATCTCACAACGCAGCTAACAATATAAATAAGAATTTCAACGATAGCTTAAATACACACATCATTATCTACTTGCCTATGGGACTTATTTGCAGCGAAAACATAAAACAACCCATGGCCATAAACACAATGATTATATTTAAAAAAGAAGAGTTTTAGATTCAGCAGAATGTATGTACAACCATGTACAAAGCACACGATGAGTAATGATTTTTTTCAACTTCTAGTTAAAGCAGATTTCGTTACACCACCCCCAAATGTTTATAATTGAACAATCGACCATCACCCACCTCTCGCATACGCTTTTGCAGCAGCTGATTTCTCCGGTACCGGCGTTTGTTTTTCCGTTTCACTTGATTCGGTAGGATTATCTTTCACAGTGCCAGATGTCGTTGAACGCCTGGCTGCAGGTACGGGCATGTCCTCAATTGTATTTTCGCGAGCACAATTTTCAAAGAATGCTGAAAGATATTTCAAGTCAGAATGCATAATGATAGCCGATAAAATAACTGGAACATATGTCGAATTATGCTTCTATCCGATTACCATTTCATTATAAACTTAAAACTTCTTCTGAGTTCTATATGGTACCCAATATTTCATTTAAAATTTTGCTGTATTATTCTAATCATGGAATTCTTTTTGTACTGTATATGGAAACACTTTGTGCACGTCGCGCTTGACTGCCAAACTTTGAGGCAAACTCGTTGGTTAGCTAAGTGCTTGTCGGCACCGATGCACATCCTTCATGCCCACATATTCAAGCATTGCCATCGTTTTTAACAGGGACAGATAGCTTGCAACTGTATTAGCGTTAATTTTGCTAGTATATTTTTGAAATAGCTGATTTAAAATACAACAGTGATCTTTTATATTACTGTTTTACCTCTCAAACTCTTTACATCACGAAGTATTTGTTCGTTACTTTCCGCCGCTTCTTTCTGCTGTTCAATCGTTGACTTGTTTGAAGCTGGGTTGGTATCGGTACCGTGATTTTCTACGCCATTTTGAGTCGGCTTCCCTGCAAGCTGAGCGTTACTCAAAGCTTTTTCTTCCAAACGTTTCAAAGCGGCTTTGCATTCTTCTAGTTCGCGCTGAAGCTCCATTCGAGCGACGATCTCTTCCTGATAAAAATATTCGGAATTGTGATTGAGATTCCTTCGTAACAACGTGTCTAGGCTGTTTTAGTATTACTTCCTCGGTATTGTTTTAATGTTAATAATTTTTATTTTTATTTGGGTGAAATAATAGTTTACCTTCAATTCTTTTTCTGCAATTTTCTTTTCAACTGAGAGATTCTGAAACAAAGTTACAATCACATTTATATTATAACGCTGAATTCAATACTTGATGACGCGGTTCACAGATAACCCATCCAACTGGTGTACTGGGTGGCTCTCTCTAGTGGTCCATGTTAGACGAAAAGTCGCTAAAACCGTACTCAGTAACATATGCTAATAACATTCATCCAAACACTAAAACTCGCGAGCTTTTAATTCTCAATTTTGTATTAGAATCTTTAGTTACTGTCTATAACCAAATATGATGTCCCTCTTCCCGTAAATGTGTTCATTTTTTTTTTTTGAAATTTGGTAAGCGATTGTTTTTACTAGTGGGAAGGTATTGAAATGAAAATATTTATAAAAGATTAGTTTTTGAATTGTGAAGAAATCGCAGAAATGTATTTAAAAAAATAATATATACTTAATTGTACCTGCATTTCAGATTTTAATTCTTCGGCTTCTAGCGATATTGCTTCTCTTTCCTTCAGTATGTCCGTCGACATTCTTTGGTTTTCTTCAAGTCTAAAGGATAGTACATAAAATAAATTTACGAAGCAGTGAGACTTTACAACAGGGCAGTATGATGCATGCATGACCGTCTGGATTGACTTTAATGGACGCAGCACAAACGTGTCTTGGACCAAGTGAGGATTTGTTTAACATATCCCATTCACTGGATGTAAACGTTTTGGTTTGTGTACTGGCATTGCGACGGAGATTTCTGGAGCCTATTCAACCTTCAAATACACCAGCATCCTTGTCTCAATCGTACAAGAAAAGAGCAGATAACAGAAATATATAACAATAAGTCAATTCTAATCATGTCAATCAATGTCGTATCATTTTCATGCCGCGTCATACAAATCATCACGGACATTAACCATCTACAAATTTACAATTTATTCCCAATATTCGACCTAACCTATTCTTACTTGAGACGAATAGCTTCTTTATCTTTCTCCAGACTTATGGCTTTTTGTTCAATGGCAGCTAGTTGTCGCGCAAGTTCAGCATTTCGCTCAGCTGGCATTTCTGCCTTTGCCTCGTGATCCTGTAATTTTTGTATGATGGCTGCTCTCTCACTAGACAGGGCCTAAAAACGATGAATTAGGATTTAATTTCTTTCAACATGGCTTTGCACCAGAATTATTAGAAACTGTGTTAGTTAGAACTTGAAAACGGGTCTTTTATATTGGAGCAAAGTATACGAAATCACTATAAAGTAACAGAAGCTATATGGATGGTCTATCTATTCATATCAGGGTCAACATAGACAATTCATGAAAAACTGCTTTATCAAACAAACTGTATTGGCCAATGTGCATATAGAATTTATGTCGCAGATAAATGATTAACACAGAGGAAAGTTATGTTGATCGTAAATAAAGCACAACCGGTGTTAGCAAAACGATGTAATTTGCCGACGTTATTATTTTCAGAAATAAGGTTCAAATTAATACTTAAATCGTTTTATCACTGCTCAGCATCTTCAAAAGTTAGACGAAATCGCTTCTACCAATTTGTCCCGGTTTTATAAAATTAGGAGTCAGTATCTACTAAGTATGATAGTATGATATAGCATCATTCTGTCGCCAAGTCAATTTGATTGAAACAGAAACATGGTGAGCAAAATGTAACTTCCGCGTTGCACTCAGATCGTCAATAGCTTGGTCATAACTTGAGATTATACAGTCATATATTTTATTGCAACAAGGCTATGGAACAACGTTTGATGTCATGCGATGTTTTCTGGTATCTATTAACGATATTGACAAGCTTTGTATTCCACATTTAAACTTATTTTTGTGATGACACCATTCTCTCGAGTGGCATATATAGGGCATGGCCATAATTGGAGAAATATAACAGCTTAAAAATAATATGATCTTTTACAAATTAATAGTCAGTGTTCAAAGATTTCGAAGGCTGCTTGGTTCATGTGTAAATGACTTTAAGTTAAAACTACCTACCTCCAAACTTTTCTGTAAATCTTCCGTTGTTGATCTCATTATTTCTCTTTCTTTTTCGAGAGCTTTGCTTGATTCAATCGCTTTCAACAGTTCACTGATTAAAGAGAACATTAAAATTTCTAATAAAGTAATTATTTGTACAATATACTGTCTACTTGTATTTCTTTAAACATCATAAAAATATCTCAGGAACGATTGAATATATTTAAATAATAACTCCAATAATCGAGATCAAACGTCTATTTGTTAAAATTTGACATACATTTTAGAAGAAGAAAATTTTCCTAAATAAATTTCCCTGTTCCCTAAATACTAATATTGGCATAACAACATTGCATGGTATTTGAAAATCATAATCCAATACTTCGGAATTGTAAACTTTCTCAGAAATATTTTGTTCAATAATAAAGAAAATCGCATTTATTCAAGTCAATAGTCTCAATATGAATAAATCAAATTGGATTTTTTTTGTTTATCAATTTTTCACAAACTTTCGAAAAGTGTTTTTCTAATCCTTTCAGCCGTGCTTTCATTAAATATATCGGTTATACGCAATGTGCCTACGTCACTACCCAGAGTGTTCAGGCATACGAAAAAGAGTAAATAAACCACAACTTGTGCAAGAAGTAGTTTATCTCGACGAATAGCTAGTCCACACAGTCTACGTAATATAACTGAAGTCATATCGGATTGGATATAATTTAAATCATAATTTGAAATATGAAAAGATTCTACTCTTCGTACTTACTTCTTAACTTGATTGTGAGCATCTTGTAATTCTTCGACCATTCCTTCAATTCTTGCGTTTTCTTCTTCTAATTCTTGGTTGAATTCTTCCAATGCCTGAACACATTCAATTGATTAAGTGCGAAGATAGAAATTGCGTTGCGTGTTATCGTTGTTACGATTCGTGGATTTCTTAGCGTCATGTGACGAGGAATCGTTTAAACAGTGAATCTACTGCCTTACCAGTGTTCCCTGGCATCTGGCCCGTGATACCAAAAATGAATCAACAGAAATGTAGTACACCCTGCGTAACAGCGATAACATACCTCACGAAGTTCTCTTTCTGCTCCTAGTTCCTCTGCTTCGTTTATAAATTTGTCTACAAAACAAAATTACAATTACCAATTTTCTTAAATGCTTTCATTCAATAAATGCTGCCTAGATAATTTAAACACATTCATTGCCCTGCATCACTGTGACACACAAATCTTGTGCAGTGAAAACATTCGAAACACAATCTAGATATGATAGAAAACTGTGGGTTCGTTGATAAGTGTGTCGCCTTTATAATTTCAGTTTCGAATTTCAGATGCTAAGTTTGGAGCAAAAGAAATGTAAAACCCATTCTTAAGACAAAGAATACCAGAATTTACTGTGAGTGCTTATTCACGAGTGAGTACTCGATATAGGTAAATCATTAATTGTTTCATTTCGTAATCGGGCAATCACGTAATTTTCGTTCATATGGTCAAACACGAGTCAAACATGAATGGCATCTCTGAATTATGCTAGCTGAAGCTGAATCATATTTGCTTTGCAAAGTTGGCAAATTTATTAAACTATCTATAGTCGACCGCCTACTCTTTACTGGCGATAGGGGATTGGTCACAGATATTGAACGGAAGAACGACTTCAGCTAGGTCACTAATCATTAGGACATAGAACCTACAAAGGTGAAACAAAAACAGGCGAAGCAACCAACTCTCCAGTTTTTCTAGCTCCTACTGAAATGCCTGCTTGTGATGAATATTTTCGTAGATAAGCATGAAAATACAAAAAAACAAATAGAATCTTAAATGTGGATGTATTCATAATAAAGCAATATAACACATACCAACATATTCCTGTCTTTCTCTTGCTAATTGCAAACTCTGTTCTTGTAATGATTTAATCATTGTTTCTGATAATCCCGAGTTTTCTACAGTCCTGGAAAAGATATGGGGGGAATCAAACATAATTTGCAAAATATAATGGTTTGGCAGCGATAACAAGTGCAATAAATTAACATTTTCAGCATTTTGTGTATTGCAATTTTTCAAAGCAGGAGGCAAATATACAAAAGTACAATCATCTTATAGGAAATAACAAAATTAGGGTTGATGAATTAAATTCGATGACCTCCTAGCGGTTTATTCCATATTTACGTATTGAAAATTCGGAATTAATTGATTCACCAGTTACGTATAACGGCGAATTTTCCCAACTATTTTTCAAAAAATGTGTGTGCATTTCCTATCCACAAACTTTAACCACCAATTAACGACATCTTTGGGTACTCGTTTTACCATGCGGCCTTGAAGTACTCTACTGATATCATTATGCAAACGCTTACACTTTTGTTGCTCTATCCATTGCACGAAGCCACATCTTCCTCGTTTCTTCGTCGTCAGCAGCGACACGTACTTGCAACTGAATGTTAACAAATATGGTTAATAAGAATTCTATAAACTAAAATATAGAAGGGTAATCAATTACACACAATTACCAATCCAAAATATCCCAATATATGACAATGAATTCTAACAAGAAGAAAAATACTAACAACATGATGAACACAACATAATAACAAAATGAGCCATATGTACATTTCGCGTCCAACAAGCAAACAGGTTAGTTCAGCCCTAACTGTTGCTAGTCTTGTACTACAAAGTACAAACCCCCTGGAAGGAGGCATGGATCCGTATTAAGCCAAGGCTAAGCTTTATTTCTGCTAAAATAGCTGCAGATTGCGGAGAGATCCTGCATTTTTAATACTTTTTATTACTTTTCTCCTGGTGTTTATATTATTACTATTAGCATTGTGATATGTACATTATTTGTCGATTAGTATGGAGTTTATGAAATACGGCTTGTTATTAGATTCTTAGTAAGCACGACGCCGCCAAAGTACATACAAAAATATATTTTTATCAGATACAGATGTCAGTTTTGTTGTGATTGTCGGTGGAAATATTTTTTTATATGAGGCGTGGGAGTCATAAAGCAATGAACAAGTTCTAAAATACAAATTATACATTTGAGCTATAGTGTCATGATGATTTCACGTATCTTGACTGATTTTAAAAAGTAAGTCCACACGCGTTGTCATGTCGGATATTTAACCGGGATGTGGTTAGTAAATATGTCTGTTATACTTCCTCGCGTCATAATCTATAAATCATGAATTCGTACGTTCAAATCTAAGTCATCTTTGTAAATACAAATAGCGCTTGTTGAAAATAGAATTAAGTGTACTGGAAGGTTGCAAATGTTTCATAGCGTATTTTCAATGTTGCTGTGGTGAAAACTAGCTACAAAAATATAATATATCAAATATAAGGACCGATAACTAAGCGCAGTACCGTCAGCCCATGCAGCTCACACAACAATGCGGCTGAGCGCTGAGTTCGCAAAATCGAAATCAAGGACAATCATGATGTATGCGGTTACGATGGACGGAATAACAACAGTGTTCACGTGAATTAGAATAAATAAAAGTTAGAGTCATCTGGCGACGTCTACCATCTTTGTGTACTGAAAATATGAATTCGAATGGTCCATCAGTTACGGAGATAGCGATTTTTCCAGACCAATACGTTTCAAAAACCAGGATTTAACATATATACTGATGCAGAAGGCCACTTCATGTCTATCCGCCTAATTTTTTCCGGACAGCCTCCCTTTTTCAGCTTACCCACGATATAAGTATTAAATACTAGTATTGAACTTACCTTTAGTTCAGGATGTGAGATATTGATACAATGTGGCATTCCAGGTAACGTTACATTTTCAATCGTACAGTTTCCAAGAGGTATCACTCCCTGAACAATAATAATATTACAAATCAATGAACGCCATAACAAAAAGTTTGTTGATTGAAAATTGGTTTATTTTCCGAGTAGTATAGAAATTCAGATAAGCAATTCAGTATTATGGTGACACTGTAGGCCCAAGCAATTGCTTGCAGTATTTGTCATGCTTGATTTGGAATATCTAGCTCGGACAATCTGTACCGATTCACCACAATGCAACAAATTACCATCGTCTCATTGTCCTTTGACCTGGTTAAATAGTAACTGAGTCACGCATAGCACGTCGTTATATATTAGAGCGATCTCGATCTAATAATGATTAGAATAGAAATTAGAATTACATATTTCATCAACTCTTCTCAATGACGACGTTTGTCTACTCTAAACCGCACCGTACAATTTCAAAACATGTATCAAATTAACTATAGGAAATTTGGTACTCCCGAAGTATATGAACCAAGATGGCGGACACTGAAACGTATAGTATGTTTACCATGTTAGGGTTAGGCCATAATTTTATTCCTATTTTCCTTAATTTAGTTATATTACGAGTTCGGGGACTAGCCAAGTGACTCCCGTAGTATTTTTACCTGAAATTATGGCTTAGCCCTAACGTGTTACACATACTACGTTCCGGTGTCGGCCTTCTTGGTTGACATACTTCGGAAGCACCAAAAATTAAACATCAACTTTTCACTCTTCTTATTGACGACGTGTGTCTACACCGCATCGTATCATAAGTATACAATTTTGAGATAACCTTTGAACTTATACTGTGTGATACAGAGTTTACCAAACCAAAATCACGTACACACGGACAATATAATGAGCTAGCTATATATACACTACCTTTGGATGTATATTGAATATTTTCTTCGTATCGAAAATTTTCTTCTCTGATTCCGCATAATATAATAAATATCCTTCTTTTAGGATGAAGAATCTAAGAAGAACGTAAAGAAATAAAATTAGCTGCTGAAAAACTAAAAAAAAGTATGGTGCTTGTCTATTTATTACGGAAAAATATTTATCTTCGAGTTTTTTATGGATTTGTTATTCGTCATTTTTATTCAGCTGTATTCTCATTGGTAAAAAGATCTGGAGTGTTTTAAACAGAAGGGAGTAAAACATAGAATCAAAGGATAACGTGATAGATCTTCTTAGTAAAAATGACCGTTGATCTGACACGCTTATATATAATTTACTATATCAAAAGCATGTGTAATAGAGTTATACGTCGCCCCACATTTTGACCACTAATTTGGATTTGAACGACAATACCAGTTTAAAAAGAAGACAAGATCCGAAAAATTGAACAAAACAGTCAAACACGAATATATATCACTCCTTGCAAGATTTATCATATTTCGTACAAAGTATATGAACGTATTTGCATTGTTGTTTTAAAGAAATATTTTTGTTTTCGATTTCAAGCTCAACCCCTAATCCGGCCCAAGGTCAACGCCCAATGTCTCAATGTGTATTGTGTGTGAAAAACTGAAGCTCATCAGTTTTCAGTCAATTGTACGGGAGTGAGTCACGAACGAAGAGTTGTTAACTGACTCACTCTTTTGAGTAGAATTCAGAGATACGCTTACGGCTCAAGTGATAAAGCCCACATTATCTTAGAGTCCGAGGTAGGCTCAGTTGTTGGATTAATCCAATAAGTTAATTATTAATACGTTTAATGTCAGAAATGAACGTGGTCTTACAGATTTTAATATTGTTCCGAACTGGCACTATATAAAATATAAATGAATAAGTTGCCCCGATCACCATTTGGATGGCCCCCTCTTCAGTAGAGGGCTATTGGGCTGTCGCATAGATATGAATTTCTGTTACCTAGCTGGAGCGTAAAAAAAGTAATCACGCATAGCCAGGCACCATTCCCTTTCAAGTGGATTACGACCACCTATCGGTTATGACAAAAATGAGAATTTTTTAGAGCGAACGTAACAACGATCCAATGCCAACTAATTTTCTGAGAAGAAGATATTTATTCTTATGATTTTTTAGACATTCTTATTCAAAGGCTACTTCGATTGCTATATAGCAGGGGTAGCCAACCCATCTTTGACTGAGATCGACCGAATTTTTTTTCGATATAAAATGCGATCGACCAATCGATAATAAATGAGTAGTAACAATTCTTGGTTTGCTAATTACTATTCAGAATTAACTTTCAATTGGATGTTACCACGCTACTGCTACTTTTGGGAACAAAATGTATAGACTCCAGGGTAGAAAAATCTTTATGATGGTGGAGAAGTTAAGAGCAATGAATTATATAGTTGAAGACAATTGTTTAGCATGTTGTTGATAAAGTTGACTTAAAATCAGGTACGATCGATGTGTTGCCCACCTCTGCTATACAGAAACAAGAATGCAGATGGAAACAATAAACGTCAGTATAAAGTACTGAATACAAAGCAGTATGTTTCCAAAAACATTCGAAGAAACATCCTTATATGGAATCTACGTATTGTTCTAATTTTACCCAGAGTTTCATGCCATGTGGGATTGTTTAACGAACGAATAAGATATGTCTCTGCCTATGGCTGAAATAAACGGATATATTAGTTGGTCCTTAACATAATATGATGCCAATCGAGATGATGGAATATAATTAAAATTTCAATAGTCATTTTATCTAAACGACATTTGGAGTAATCATTTATGGAAAACGTTATTGCTCATTGAGCTACTTCGAGTTCGGGGACTAGCCAAGTGACTCCCGTAGTATTTGTACCTGAAATTATGACCCAACCCTAACCTGGTTCACATACAACGTTCCGGTGTCCGCCATCTTGGTTCACATACTTCGGGAGTACCCTTCCGTTATAATAATATGTTATCATATATTACGCATTATTTGTACTCGCTTACAGTCGAAATAAGTTATTTATTTGCCGCCAACACGATGTATGCATCCCTTATCAGTGCATAAGGTGAATCATTTACTTTAAAACCTCTTTATTTACGTCAAAATTGCATTTACTTCTCATAATTTTTGGATATATTTGATGAGTAAGCTTATCAGGCCGATATGTATGTTACAAGGGATTATATTAGCATCCGCAATACTAGTGTGTCATCGATTGGTAATCGCTAAGCAACGCACCCACGTCATATTTTCAATCCAAACATACACGACACATATATATTAAATGTGGCCATGTATATGCCAATGATATCAATCTCAGTTTTCAGATTTCGTGAATTGCAATGTATAGCAAATAATTAACTCAGTAATATTGAGTCGTACAATAGGTCATGGCTTTCAAACCAAAAATCTCCAGAAACAGAATTTTTCTATCTCTCAGACCTGACCATGCTGAATCAGAGAAATCTTTCCAAACCGGAATTTGTTGTCACGTTACTCATTCCACGGCATAACATTGAAGGGGAAAACAACCAAACTGTACATTCCGACAAGCGAGGACCAGAGTTAAATATGCTTCTAATCGCATTAGTTTGGGCTCATACATGCAGCATTAGCGGAACTCAATCCAAATAAATTACAAACTCATATTACAGCAATTGGTCTGGCATTTCCAACGCGATAAAAACGTGTCGGTATGTTTCATAAAATTCCATTATTATCATTAACGCGCACAAATATAGATTTGATTTCGATGATTTAAAATTAGCAACATATAGTAAATTGTAAAACGATTAGGTCAATTGCGTTTAGATTGTCTCGTAAGCTTCTACTATATTGGAAATTTGGTATCAATACATAAATAGCTGAATAGTGTTTGACGCTAAGTTATTGTTTTTTGTACTTTGGCATTGTGTTCTTCCATATCCAAACTACGCACTCAATAATATACTGCTTAAATAGTTTATGATAGATTACCAACATTGGCACTGGGTTGAGACAATAGAGTCTCGTTGTAATGTCCTATCAGAATTCTAGATACTTGTTATGCTGGATGCGTTTATAATGTTTTATAGTTACTCTATATATATATGCATAATACCTGTGCCACAAACGTAGTTGAAATTTAAAGATCATCAGCTGCGAATGTATGGGCCAAAACCCAAGATTTTAAGAATTCGTAGAGACGGATATAATTCTCTATTTCAATTTGATGAGATACAATGTGAAACCATTCACCATTTTTTCAAATCATATGGATTTTAGTTTATCCGATACAACTGTACGTTATACATGACATACGTTCTTATGTTTCCTTCCGAATGAAATATCTTAAAATCTATCCGGATTCTATCTAACAAGATATATAACGTATCGAAGCTAACGCATCGAATGAGTTTTATTTGGCTATTTTTCTATTTACGTACGCAAAATTTGGTCAGCTAATGAATAAAATTCACAGCCAATGCCTGGGAACCGCATTTTCTGAATGGAGATTAAAAAAAAATACTGAAATGCCCTAAATCGTTAAGCAAAGATATATCAACGTACCTCCTTGACCATTTAGTTGATTGGTGTCCAAACGGTTTTTTCATCATGACACCACTCATTTGTACCACACCTGCTGACCCTTCACTCCCGGAAATATTTCCATTGTTACTTCCCACTGATCCACCATACCCTGAGTCCACAGTTGTATTCGACATTCCCGATTCTCTGCGACTTTTAAACCAACTGATTTCCATTACCCGCACGCTGCAACGTTATAAGCATAGACTTCTTAGTAATAGAACGAATCTTCTCGTTTTTTGCTCCTTACTCTTTTGTTTCTTTATTTTATTTTTATGAAAACGTCACAATCAGATACAGCTCATGAATAAACAATAATGCAAGCAGATGGCTGACGTGTTGCAGGAATATAAACTAGACTTGAAGTGTATCTTATTCTATCAAGATATCTGTCACAAATAGATAAAATTATTGACAAAAAATCAACATGAAAAATAAGATTTGGAATAAAATCGATGATTATTTTAATGTTACAAATATATGATCCTTTTATTTACGAGCTATTTATAGTTATTTTCGTTAAAATATGCTTTTTGTTATCATGCATATAAATAGCATGTTTGATGTACACACAGGACTTACTATGATGACAAAAAAATACCGTTCTAACAAATTGAAATCTTTTGACAAGGATTGCCATCATTTTTGCAGAAATTCCCCGTTATACTTTACTTCTTGACTAAGTATTCGGGCTATTTTCATATTATACAAATTCTATACCATTGCCACACGCATCTTTATATACCAAAACATTAATGCTTTCCTGTACACTAGTCATTGCTATTTCTAAAAATAGAGACCAGACGAAACTGCATTGTATAAAATATAAAGCAACCATGTCCAAAAATACTGTAACATATGTACGTCACTCGAATTGACAAACATTAATTTTATTATTCAAAAAAAAAAGAGTTTCATTGCTTGCTACCATTTTCTATGGAATATTTTTGGGGTCATTCAATATAACTGAAATATACTGCATATAAAAAAGTGTATAAAGGACATGTTTATCCGTTTTTCCAACAAAATTCTCATCAAATTATCAGTATAGCTTGCTTGAAGTTATTTGGTGTCGGATATTTCAGAAACCGTGGTTCCGTGGGGTTGAAACACGTAAAATAACCTCGCAACTAAAGACATGGAAGCACCCTGTGGTACATACTTTTCAGTATAAATCCCTCCCAATTCAGGCAATATCCCAATATAACTATTATCCTCGCAATCCCAGTCATCGTTAATGTTCTTCTGTTCTACGTGAAGAATTACGGCTTTTATTTGTGTTTACATAATTTCGTGTTCTGGGGTAGACTGCATAACAATCTATATTTATTTCTAAATCCACAAATATGTTGCAAGTGTCATATATTATCTTTGTTTGAGTTATTTACCTACACTGCATTGTTTTAAAATGCATAAATTCAACTTTCGCAAACAATCTAATGTGTACGAAACTTGTTGATAAGCCCTAATTCGGGTACATGCATGTGTTTATATAACTACAAGAAAAATAGTAAAATTAACAAACTTCAATGCGTTAATGCATATCTATATAATTGTAAAGTAACATAACGAAGGTTTCCGTTCAGTCTCGACACAAAGATAATAATACGTTTGTACACGTTTCGTTTAGTTACACATATTTTCAACGACCGAATTCGTTTGTTGATTTGATATATGGTAACTGTAAAATGCATGTAAATCACCGATTTTTTAAAAGTATTTGAAATGTTCCGCTCTACTAATATACAACGAGGTCAGTCAACATTATCTCATGTATAATATAATAAAATAATGAACTATTAAATACTTATTAATTACATATTTTTTATTGCTTAAACTTTTTACGTGGGGCGATTTACGAGGTATTCGTAATGATGTTGTTGCGAATCAATTTTCTATTTAATCAACTGCACGATATTTCAAAATATTCACAAATTTACTTATATTTTATTGTAATTTTATATTGAAATTATATTGTGAATCACCTCACTATAAAGTCAATGTATCAGACAGTATCTGGGCACCGGTAATTTTGAAACATGAATATTATAAACAAAAAAATTATTTCTATACTAGCAGCTTTTTAACAAAACAAGAACACCCTCTCCTGATTCAAAACGGTCTAATAACAATTACAATTCCGTATCTTAGCATCGTATTCTGGACTTCCGTGAGTGAACCTCATCGAAGTATCACGAAGTATTGTCTTCATGTACATCAAGTCAAACACATCGAAATTACATTAAAGTTTTCTATATTACTTAACAGTACATTGAGAATCAAAATCAGCATATTTATGTCTCGAATAAGGAAGCTAATGCACTTACATGCACTTTAGTTTACAGTATATGCAGACCACGCATGTTTTTAGGAAAAACGGAAATTAATAAAAATGACGACACATCCGATGTAACATGAATAGTTTAAAATATGAACATTATAATCCTGTACTTTAATAATAGTTTGAAATATTATAAAAACAACAAACAAAAGTAAGAAAAGGCAAAATTAGTTAAGATTAAAAATTTACTTTCGACATTAGTGCAAAATGAAAATGCAGTATTGCAAGAAAATGGTATAAGGTCATCCGCTTACATAAGACATCCGCTACATAAGGTCAAATAGTTAGCTTTCCAGGTTTTCTGACGTCTTTTAATTGCAAAATCGTAACGCACACTTCTATGCGCGCAATTCCAACACCTATAGTCTGTGTTTTAATGATTCCTGAGTGAACTATCATTCGGTTTTCGATAATTGCTCCAACAGTCGGTCGGTCGGTCTCAATTGCGACCCCAAAATGTAGGAAACACCTGACATTGTGACCAAATTTCTTATCTAAACGTAAAGGTGTATCCGACTAACAGCTGTTAAACCATATTCACTTATTAATGTTGAATGTTCTGAATTGAGTTCAAAATCATTTATTTGTCCATATTGAAACTCCTCTGTGTGGATCTCACTGTTTAGACTCAGCTTTTTTCTCTATATATATGACGCTTATTCACGTCCGAGCAAAGCACTATGTTAGCAGCCAATGATGCCTACCAATAAGTAAACATCTACAATTTTTATGACCTCGATATTTCCGGTTCCGCATTGTCTACTCAATCTATTACACCCTGGGTTAGGTGATAAAAATAAAATTTAAACCCGATATGTGTAGCCCACAAACTTGCTAAATTAGAACTTGTCACTGTTCTATATTATGTTCTTTCTCTGCGACCTTCAGCTGTATAGGAACCACATCACGCAATTCCTGATACCAATGTAACGACAAATCTCTAAATAATCGTTTAATGTCAATACAGCCGGAGCTCTTAAACAAATAAGGCATTCAACCACATGATTGCAAATAATGGCATTTCATAATATTTCACCCGTACTCAATATATCATAAATGTTTCTCATCATCCCTCGCGATGTGTTTTTTACATACATATATATATTTACTGTTAGTAAATTGTACATATTTTAACACAGGCCATAAACAAACGTACATATGTGGTAATAACTAGAGTAGGCCAACCATGGAAAAACGTACTTTGATTCTACGTGGAATAACCTTAAAAAATTTAAAGTGAAAGTCTTTGAAGGTCACTAAAAGATTTCAGCAATTAAACGGTTGTATATTCAAACGTTTAAAGTTTGGTGACATACCTAAAATTGTGAGTACTTGCGGGATACCGCAAAAACATCAATCCGACAACAATTTTTGATCAAGATCTAACGGAATTAGTTTATTGGTACATCACTACACTAAAATGCTATTTATTTTACTTCATATTTAGAAGCTTAGTTTCGTGCTAATGGGGCTAGATAAATATTGCTCATATCTTAGGTACATTTCGTCCATGATTCACAGCTTTGAAAACTTCAACAAAAGTTATCTCAATTTTGAAGTAAATCTAAACAGTCTCATACAAAACGTTTCAAGCTTGCAATTCGTGACGAATTATATTGTTGTTCAATCCTGTCATTACCCCGAACTGATCTGTTTTTCTTCGTTCTTTTTCTTTCAGGCTAGGACAAGTGAGGTTTGTTTGCCACCAGGGGAGTCGCCAGGAATTTTCAAAGAGGGGGGTCCGAAATTTCTAAATGCTAAGCTAGTCTGTAACAGCTAGCGGGTATGGCCCGAGGCTGGCAAACAGGGATTATCAAGATTCTTGAACGTCCCAAAAGGCGATTCAAGCTACGAAAAATTGGTATGTATAACACGAAAAAATCTTTCTTTATATTTCAATACTCCTTCCTCTGGTTAGGCCCATGTTTGCGCGTAACACCACCTTAACACCCACCCTTGGTTAGGGCCCATGTTTGTTACCCAGGTGGGACAATACAAGAATAGAACGACCGTCACCGTTACCAAAAATCAGGTTATCCTACTCAGATTCTCAGCTATTAATGATTTGTATTATTTGTTTTTGTTATAACAAATTTTGATTTTGGGTTTGATTGAAAAATTAATTTTGGGTTGTAAAATAAATTTTTTTTTACAATTGCCACAGTCCTTGGCAATCGAAGTGTTTTGGGGTTCACACTTGTTAATGGGTAATAAAAAAAATTCTTGGTAATACTAACAGAAATTTGTAATCGAATCATGCAAAGCAATACGCAAAAATATTTTTGTAATGTAATAATTAAAATTTTCTCAAAATTGATAATGACAGTCGATATAAATTAGTCGGTAATTTAATTACTGTAAACACGAGAATACGATAATTTATACATTAACTTAATGTGGTAGAATCAAAAAGCAATAATATATATTGAATAAGTGACAAATTATTAATGATATTTATCATTCTAATATGCTCAATTTTCGCGATTTCAGTCACAAAAAAAATCATGTTCAAAACTTTAAAAGTATACTTTAATGCCGAACATCCTTTACCTATTAGCTATAGCTTTTAGATATTCCATGGGTAGATGTCATAGCATTGAAGTTTTTTATTCCAATAACTTGCACGCCTAAGTTTTTATTTGTCTTTCGATTGAAAATAAACTCTCCTTCATTGGAAAAGTAGAGATTCACTGAAATACTTCTATACAACTCAAAAGTAACTAAGAGATCACATTACACGAATGCTACACTGAAATGAATGTTCATCTCATCGTATTTCAAAGAAAACAAGTTTTTGATACCTGAATTAAATTATTCATTGGTTTTATTCGTTCTAAATAATTAATTGAAATTTGATCATCCATCCTGTAAAAATACACTTGATACCTACATCCCTCAATTGGCTGAGTTTTGAAATTAAGAAGGTACAATTTTACCAGAAAATAAAATCGTTGTCTCATGTTTGGCTATCTGCATTATATCAAAGAAATTCTAGTTCGAAATGGTAAACGACACTATTACACTTCATCTAATACTTAATGGTGTTATAATTACGAAGAAA